CAGAACGTGATGAAAGCAGGATTATTTATATGTTTTATACTAAATGTTTTATCCATCTTGAAGAACATAATAAAGAGAAACTTCCAATTATGAACTAAAGAGTTCAAATCTTCAACATTATAGTTATATGATAAAAAAATATCTATATTTGGCACAAAGGGTGAATTGAAACTGTACAGGGTCATAAACAGGCTTCTGTAGTCTGGGTGAAAATATTAACGTGTCTTGAGGCTTGAGTTCAACTGATTCACTGACTGAAAAGTTCATTAGCAGAAGTACGTCTTTGTTTTTGTCAAAGCCGGTGGGCGAACAAGTGTCAAATCACAGAATCAGCAGAGCGGTCCTGAATATTTCTTACAAACGCCACCGCATCGTGAAACAAAACACAACCGTCTTTGTCAAATAGCTCCGTACAGGACTTTGTGCTGTGAAGCCCTCGAGCCCTCCACATGTCACGAAGCTGAATGAACCACTGTGCAGCCGCAGTGGGACTGATGGAGGAGTTCACCAACCAGGACTGGACACTAGATGGCAAAACAAAGAAAACATTATTGTTCTTGTTAAAAAAGATTTTCCTGTTCAAACCTCGACTCTTCTCCTCCTTCCCTCCTCCAGCCGTTCGTTCCCGCCTCCTGCGCCTGCGCTCTCTGTGGGATGAGATCCGGCAGCGTGCCGAGGAGAGGGAGGGGAAGCTGAACGACGTCCTGGACGTGGCTGGGAAATTCTGGTCTGACGTGGCGGCTCTGCTGAGCACGCTCCGAGACTCCCAAGATATCGTGAGGGAGCTGGAGGACCCTGGTGTGGACCCCTCGCTCATCAAGCAGCAGATCGAGGCTGCCGAGGTACGGAGGGAGAGGGGAGCTGAAAATATAAATATGTAGAGGGGTTCTGGTGGCTGATGGAGTTCACTCTCTTCCTCTGTTAGGCCATCAAGGCAGAGACAGACGGCCTGAGGGAGGAGCTGGAGTTTGTCAGGACCCTCGGGGCGGACCTCATCTTTGCCTGTGGAGAAACTGAGAAACCTGAAGTCAAGAAAACTATCGATGAGGTGAGATTCAGACATTCAGTGACTGAAGAAGATTTTAAAAAAAAATGTTTTAGCGCCCACTCATATAATTCTGTCCTCCTCTCAGATGAATGCCGCCTGGGAGGGTCTGAATCGGACTTGGAGGGAGAGGATGGAAAGACTGGAGGAGGCCATGACGGCCTCTGTGCAGTATCAGGACGCTCTGCAGGTTCGTTCCCCAGAGACAAATAAACCCTTTGTAAATGATGCTGTCTTTGCACCAGCTCATGTGCGTCTCTCTGTTTGACTTCCAGTCCATGTTTGACTACCTGGACAACGCGGTGATCAAGCTGTGTGACATGTCAACTGTGGGAACTGAGCTGGGAACTGTGAAGCAGCAGATTGAAGAGCTCAAGGTTGGCATGACAGTTTCATTTTTAATTACCCACCAATGAACAGACTTCACTTGCAAGCTGTTTTCCTAGAAACCGAAGTTCTGATAAACTGTCTCTGTCGATATTCAAACCCTCCCCTCGTCTCATCCCTCCGTTCGCCCCGAGCAGCTGTACAAGGTGGAGGTTTACCAGCAGCAGATCGACATGGAGAAGTTGTGCCACCAGGGGGAGCTGATGTTGAAGAAAGTGTCCGACCAGACAGACAGGGACATGATCCAGGAGCCGCTCACCGAGCTGCGCCACCTCTGGGAGAACCTGGGTGATAAAATTACCCAGAGACAGGTAATGAAACCAAGTCCCCCCCCCC